ACTGCTACTTGGGACAGAATGGAAGACAGTACCGTGTATGAGATAAGGATGAAAAGTTGTAAGTCAGAATGGATTTTTAAACAAGAATTAAACTCCAGGCATTGTAATGGTAACTGATAGCTATTATGGATTTTTAGTTAAATATTCAGTATCAACCTGTGATTTAAAGATGCCATGTGTTTTGCTTTTTTGATCCTCAGAAAAAAAATAAAAAAGAAAAAGAAAGAAAGAAAGAAATCCCTGCACCTCTCCCCACCCTAAAAAAGAGACTGTTTTAGATTTGTAGTGAAAGTTCTCTGTAGGAATTTAGCCATGTCTTGGTATAATGAAAAAACAATTGCAAATATTACTCCACTAATCCATTTTCTTTTCCCTCTAAATAGCAGTTTTTGTGTTTTCTTCTCTTTTTAATAAGTGATATTACTCTCCAGAAAATGGAGCTTAAATTAAAAATGTCTTTAACTCCAGATATTAAGGTCTGTATTAAGCATGTCTATTAATTTGCTTTTAAAACAAAAGACTAGCAGAGAGAAGCTGACAGATTTTTGAGTTGAGAACTACTTAAACTGGTGGAGGATACACTTTTATACATATGTTCTCAGCAGCTTTGGATTGAGTTGATTTATGTAGAATGTGCTAGGTCACATCTTTTATGAAAGCAGCTGAAAGCAGCAGTCAGTGTGTGACAGAAGATACTACACTGAGTATAGTTTGTGAGTGCCAAACCCTGTATCTACAACTACATTTAAGGTCATCTAGACTGAGCCCTGTGGCTCTCTATAAGACTGTATCTTTATTTACTGACCAAAACTGTAGAAACTGTTCTAGTTTATCCAGAATTAGTCATATGCCTCTTCCTAAGTTTGTCTAAAACTATGGACACTGGAGAAGAGGAGTGGGCGCCTGCAGGTCAATAATTAAGGAACACAATTTTGGACCATCATGGCAAAACTTCCTGTGCCCAGTGTGCAAAACCAAGCTCCTAAATAAAAAGGGAGGCTGAGATGCTAGCAGTAGAGTACAGTTGGTACCATACCAGGTCCTTAAGCTAAACAGGCTCAAGATGGACTGCTACCGAGTCTAAAAGCAGGCATTCTCAGTGTAGACAACGGGAAAGTTTATGCCTGATAAGAGACCTCTTAGTTGATGCTGTCAGTATAGAAGAATTTTGTATTGAAGTGGACTTTCTAGGATCTCAAAGGCTAGAATCATGAGATATTTTCCACTTTCTGCCCCTGCATACCATCTTCCATAGGATATAGAAAAGCAGCTTTTCTAAAGCTGGTCTCCTTTATGTGCATTGCACATAAAGAATACTGAGAGGTTCCACAACCAGATAGCATAGTATGAACTGTAGTCAGTCTTCATTTATGCTGTTCATTCATGCCAAACATAATATGGTATTCCCTCTCATCAGACATTGTTTATGATCATTTCTGTTCTTCCCATACACTCAGAGGCTGCACTGAAAAACCTAGCATCTGATTAGAGCAGGTTTTTTTAAAAAAACCTGTTCTTGTTTTTTAAATATTCATTATTATTTTTCTTTAGCATGCCTGTAAGATCAAGGCTCCATTATTCACAACACTATATGAATACAGAGCTTAAATAAATTACAG